CAACCAATAAGAAACAGCAGATTGAAACTCAGTACATAAGACTCTTCCAATTAATCACTGCTTTACACTATTATTACCTTCTCTGAAACAGTCATGAATATCAAGCCAAATTTGAGGGCTTTGTACTTTGTTACTTTAGAATTTGCCCTGGATGTTGATTTTAGTTGGTCTGTCTGTGCATGCATGAGAATAAACATAGCAAATCTATTAAACCTTATTTTATTAAATCTGGCTTTGAGAAACAAAACTAAACAGAAGAAAAGTTGCCTAGAAATAAAGGAAGGAAACAATAAAAACCTTGTAAGAAGCCAAGTTACAGGGGAAAAAGGAAAAGAAAGCCTATATTTCTTCGCTTTTATCAAATGTGTTCCTTTAAAAAAAATCATGTTTCTTTCATGCTCGCTTATTTTTAACACAGAGTATCAGGCAAGTCCAGCAGGTTGACTAGACAACTGTGCACACACACCAAGTGTGTGGCAACGAATCACATGTCTTTCTGATGGTTTTCAGTTTTTAATAAAGCTCTTGGCTTCTGCTCAAGTTGAAAAGACGGCAAAGGAATTTCATTAATGATCCTTTYCTTGTCAGCTGATAATTTTCTTCTTCTTCTTCCCACTAAAAACATCAAGGCCTTCCATTTGACCTTGTCTTCGGTTCAAATATAATATGGAAAACTGGAATTACTAATGGGTCAAAAAAAAAAAAAAAAAGTGAAACCAAATAAACAGTCCTTTTTCATATTACATGCAAGCCCAAACAATCCTCTCCCTCCCACAGTCTGACCCAATTTTGCTTGGGCAGACTTTGTGCTTCTAAGCCAGGCACCTTTGAGACTGCAAACTTAGCAGATACCATGAATGTGAGAGCACAGCACTCGCTGTAAAACCAAGTTTAAAGCTGCTGCACTAAAATGTCCTTTGTACTGGCAACTTGACTGCTCTGCCCAGAAGTCCTCCCTTAGCCACAGTCACATAAATGGATAAGCTAAAGCCAGGAGTTTCATTCCTTCAGCAGTTTTAGAGATGAGAACCTCTGCCCAAGCTGCATGAGGGAATGTCCTATTTGCAGGTAGGAGTATTTAAATATGTTCATATGCTTATTGCCATACATATTTGTAAAATGGATACAAATGAGTTGCAGGACACTGGAATATGTGTTGATTTCATGCTTTGTTGCAAATAAGTTACAAAGAAATCACTCCTTGCCAAACATGACACCACAGCTGAGGGACAATTGTTGCTTTCCACCACTGATCACAAACCAGTAAGAGGAAATATTTGAGAGTTCCTTCTTTTGTTCTTCTCACTCTTTTCTTAATCCTTATACCTTCCACAAGATGAAAGCACTARGCATTTTTACCAAGTAGTTTTCAGAACTGCAGTCATTGACAGAGCTCTTCTCATTTTTTATTGATGAGTAATGCTAAAGAATCTCATTGCAGCCTAATGCCGCATGATTTGTTCCCCTCTTCAGCCACGAGAAGGAAATTATGGGGAAATCTAAAGATATTTTTTAAATTTATGTYCATAATAAGAGCCATTTCTTTTTTCTTTAACTCTAGTTATTTAGTTTGAAGTGGAGTACTTTGCGAATTTAAGAACCTTCCTTTTTATCTTGAATATCATTATATGATCAAGCAGTCAGGATCCAGTTGTGTAGCATTCTCTGGATGCAGAAATTTATTTAAATGTAATAAAATAATGGAGGGATTATAAACATGGGGTAACAAARGCAGCATTTTAATCACTCTGTGACTTAGGCTAGTCTATGTTAGCAAGCAGCAGGATTGCAACAGGAAAAGCTCTGCAGTGCAAACTGGCTTGTGGGGAGGATGTAACCTTCCCCCTCTGTGTGCTCTGCAAGGTTTGTTCCAGGCTGGCTCCATCAGTGATTGTTGGAATGCAGCTTTCTAGGGCTGCTCCATAAAATGAACCAGGAAGAGCAGGAAGGGGGGGCAAACAGAGGTTTCCTTCAAAAAATACCTACATCATCCGAAACAAAATGTTGATTAAATGAATGCACTCTTAAGTTTACCCCTATGAATGAATGGATGATCGTGTCGGTGACAGGTTTAATCTGAAAGAAGTCAACATGATGGAAAGATACCAAAATAAAATCTTACTTCTGCAGAAATTTTAAGAGATAGCTTTTGTGTAATAAAGTTCCCCCCCCCCCCCCCTTTTTTTTTTCTGGCTGAAACATGGAAAAAATGCCTTGCATGGATTCATTAACTCCCTGAAGTGCAAATAGTTTATCATAGCATTGAGAGGCAAGTTCTTGGCATAGGAGAAGTTCCCCCAGATCAGCAGGTCAGCCAATGCCAGCAGCAGGMCCCACCACACATCCCAGCACTGCAGCTGCACCCCAAGAAACTTGGACATCGTGTCAGTGTGCCAGTGTGCCACTGGTACAAAAAATACAGACAAAAATACCACGAAAGCTTCCCAGAAAATGCACAGGAATTTTCCCTGATGCAAATTTTCATCTGCCAACAGAACTAAATTGGTAACACCACTTTTCTAAAACTTCCCCTTGCCCTGATTTCTATCCGTTTGTTCAGTTCCTTTCAGTTTCCTGTTCAATTTCCTTTTTCCAATCCTCAGGTCTTTTTCTCCCCCAGCTTTCCTAGTTTTTCCCTCAAATGTTATACTTTTTATTTATTTACCAGCTGTAATAACCTTGAATTTTGCTGTTGAGCTGAAAACTGTTTCCACTCCAGTGGGTCTGGTGGTAGATGCTCTGAGCAGTAACTAACTGGTCACTCTGAATCTTTCACCAGACAGCTTTATATAGATCAAGGYAAACTGAGAACCTGTTTTGCCAGCAAAAAGAAGGAGGAAAATCAGTTYGAGTATACAGCCTCCATCATCCATGAATAAATGGAGAGCATTTATAAATAATGCTAATAAGAAGCAYCATGGAGATTACTTAGATTAGGAAAATGTTGTCCATGCTAACAAAAACTGTGTACATCGACCAAACTAGATTATGGAAACAGAAGCCCATCCCTGTGAGGGAATCCATCAAGGAGGTCTTGGACAGATCTTCCTCTTCAGAAAACCACAAAAATTGAATGTTACAATGACTGGCATATGGTCCTCCTGATGCAAACTTTTCTATTAAAATAGGAAGGAAAACAAGCTCTGTAGGAGCATCATTCACTTGTTCATTCTGCTGCTTGTCACAGTCATCTTAGTAAGGTTTGATATATTTCATTTTCCATTCTTTCCTGGAATATATCTGCACACCATTTCCTTATAAAGGGTGGTTATTCAGCATGGCACAGAAGTGGGACAGAACAAAAGAAGTCTGTAAAATGAATCAAGGACTGAAATCCTACAAATAAGCAGTTTGGATGTTTGAACAGACCTCCAAAATTAAAAGTTGTTTCCTGGCATAATTGTTCTTTATATTTTTTTCATTAAGATCTCTGGCCTCTATAGTCTCTCTTTGCTAAATTCAACTACATGTAATTATGATTTTTTTTTGTTGGCAAAATTGTGTGGCTTACAGCTAGCACTATTTCACATTTATGCAGGGATAACCAAGATTTATAAATCTCATTGATATTAATTTTTTAATACTAGAATTTAAGAAAAAACTGATTTCTGAAAATGAGTTTACACAGGCAGTCCTGCAGAGAGCTATTTAATAACCACTTAGCCTCATTCTTTCCTTTCATTTTGGCCTTCTCCTATGCTGTCCATCCTTTGTGAATCTCTTCTTGGACCGGGTGGTTGCTCAGAGCTGCTGCTCAACACAGCATCTGACAGTAACAGCAACAAAGGTGATGTTCAGCMTTGGTGCTTTCACCATCCAGTTTTTTCAATACTTAGAAATGAAGTAAATGTTTATAATTATACTAAAATTATTCCTCTTTTTTAAAATAGAAGTTGCTCAGATTCTGGGGTAATTCTTATCAGTACCTAGATAAGCAAAGATCATTCAAGCTCTTGAGAAGCAAAAACCCTTACCACTTCATGCTGTAACAGAAAATAAACTGTTTTTCTCCCACTCTCATCAAGGTGCTTTCATTTATTCCTCTTAAACCAATTTCAGCACAACAGACAAGCCTCAACAGTAAGATACAAGCTCTGTCACAGATAAGTTATTTTCCCCAGACTGCTAAGCTCCTTTTCAGAAGACAAATTCCAAAACCCTGGATTCCAAAATAAGGTTCCAGAGTTGTGGCATAAAGCTACCACACTATTTTGAAGAAGACTTCCAAGTGATGGCACAGAACATTACTCATGTATTTCAAATCCCTCCTGGAACTTTGACATCTAGCCAGAAAGGAAACAAAATTACTAGAACCTTGATTTCCTGAGAAATCAAGTAAAGCTGAAAATAAACATTCGGGAGATATTGCATTCACCTTTTAAATACTAGTTAATGGATTTATTAATCACAGAATAACAGAATMATTTAGGTTGAAAAAGACCTCCAAGATCATCAAATTCAAGTTTTGCTCTGCCACCACCTTGCCAACTAGAGCATAATATTAACTCCCGTGTTCAGTCATTTCTTGTAAAACTCCAGGGATAATTTAATTTTTTCCCCTTATTGACTATAAAGTTTCTAAAAAACTCTCARTAAAGCCTGTGCTTTTTCAGTCTGAGAGAGATGCGTGCTTAAGGCGCAATCCCATACAGCACATCGGGCGACTACAACTGAGGTTACAAGCTTAAACACCAAAGAGCCTAACTCAAACAGCGTGACTGGATCACAGGACGCGGGTTTGATCAGGATGAAGATGTGATAAGGATGAAGATGTGATAAGGATGCAGATGCGATCAGGATGCAGATGTGATCAGGATGCAGATGCGATAAAGATGCAGATGTGATCAGAATCCAGGTCACCGGACATCTCCGCGCACCATCAGCGCGGCCGAAGGACTCAGCCTCCTCCCCCTCGCCAGCCGCTGGCGCAGACGAGCCCTGCKCTCGGGGAAAGCCACTCTTTGCTGCTCGGGCTCTCCGGGGCCCGGGCGGGGCGGGGACAGGGCTCCGCCCGCTGCCGGTGACGCTCCGGCTTCCCCGGGCTCAGGGTGGCGGCAGCGGCCGCGGCGGAGGGTGAGCGGTGCGGGAGCGGGAATGGGAGCGGGGCTGGGAATGGGAGCGGAATGGGARYGGGATTGGGAGCGGGACTGGGAGCGGGGGGTGTCAGATCTCCACACAACCGGGGGCCGGGGCTGTGTCCGTGTGCGTGGAGCGGGGAGCGCCGGGGCCGTGCTCCGCCGGGCTGCGGTGACCGGGGACAATGCCAGGGCTCGGTGGCATCTGCTGTGCTTCAGGAGCGGCTCGGGATCCCCGGCCTGCAGGCAGCTCTGTGGCCCGGCACTTGGCAGTGCTCGGCTTCTCCCGGCCCTTCGGAGTGTGTTTTTCACCCTGTTCTTTGATAGAGAGCTCCGCCGCTGTTTACGGCGCTGTGGCTGCTYTTAGCAATGATTAACGCCGGGCAGGGAGAAAATTCGGTTTAAGCAACTGCTAATCTTGTTTTGGACCACTCCTTTTTGTTTCGCTACAGCAAATCCATCGCCTTTGGCACCCGTGATCTAAAGATCACAGGGATGTGCCAAGGCTCTGTGTGTATGTATATATACACATGTTGTTGTGTATATAAATTATAAATTATGTATATTGTATGATGCTATACAAATACATAATATATATCGTAGCATGTTTTTTTGTGTTAAATGCAACGTATTCGAAATATTATTTTGTTAGTCAGGAGACTGCCTTATTGCTATTTTTAAATTCTGTGTTACTCAAGTTAAGCAGAATGAGAAATTTTTAGGTGCGTACGAAGATAGCCTATGAAAACACAGTGTGCAATTAAAACGAACTGGTTTATAAACCAGAGGAAAGTCCGGTGACCAAGGGTTGTTGGGTTTGCCTTGGATCATGTTCTGGAGTTGAGCATGGAGGCACAGGGCTGCCTGTGCTTTTCCTTGAGATGCCTGTGTTTGCTGCCTGTCTCACCCTCACTGGGATCACCCCCTTCTAGAGACACCGTGACCATCACATCAGGACAAGTGGCTGGGTGCTCTCACAACCCTTCAAGGATATGGCAGTTGTGAGCAAATATTGCCTAATTCTGCTAGCAGTGTCCGAAGGAAAAGGGCAGGCAGAGATATGGGGCCAAGCTGCTGAGGATCAGGGTCTAGCTCACTCGAGTGTGTTTGAGGCTCCCATATCACCCATGGCCCAAGGGAAACTGCAGCTGGAGTTTTCATTGCCCACTCAGCTTCTCAAGTTGACAGAAAKAGCTCAAGTGARGAGGAAGTTGTTCCTATTTGTGCWAGGGATAACWGAAACTGAAAGTGATRCAAGGCAGGGCTTTCCTGAATGACACAAAACTGGACTTCCTTTAGAAAAGTGGAAATACCAATGCTTTTTTTTGTGTCAATGATGCAAATAATAATTATGCCTGACTCAGCCTAGGGTATTATTTATRATGCTTGGCTTGAAATCCAGAAGTCTCTTGTTTATCATGTATGTTTTACATTAAATCTAAGAAATATTTGCCTTTTAATGAGTTTAAAGATTTTCACTGGTATACCATGCTTTTATTAATAYAAATACTTGTACCTTTATTATAGATTATGATKATTATTATTATTATTTTAAATTTTATTTGGAAAATAATTATATTTAATTGTTTTTTATAAAAGGAGGCAAATGTTTTGAAAACATTACTACTAAGTATTTTGCTCCTGTACCACTGCAAAATAGCTGTGCTTTTCCACATTAACTCCTGAAGAACAGCTCTTCTGGAGGCAGCACTGTTAACCAGCCCTGGTTGATGCTTGTGCTTATTCTGTGATCTCTGCATGCCCACAGTGATGAGATGCTTTTAGCAGAGTGCAGCATTCAGGTCGCACTGAGGGGTGCCCTGCTGTGCTGAGGGCTCTGAGTGTCCTGGTGTTTCCCTTCCCAAGCACTCTGCCATAGAGAGCAAAAACTGCTGAGGATTTGGGTCAAACTGAGCCATTCTCAAGCCTAAGAGGAAGTGGAGCACTGAATCAAGCATCTATTGGCAAAGTGGACCTCTTGGTGGGCAGTCACCATAGAGCCAGCATTGGTGGTGATGTGACTGATGCAAAATAGTAGGACTGAAAAGATGAGAAGCAAAATATTATAAGGATGAAGGCTCTGTTCACAGAAATTTTAGAGCCCTTTCTGCTACTACTGCCCATGGATCTCTTACAGAATARCTCTTTCCACCCAGACCAAGGCCATGGCAGTCATCAGTTTGAATATTTGTAGTTAAGCAACCCTAAAGCGCCTTTTCTTGATGTTCCCTTCCTTCCTTCCTTCCCTTGGCAGTTTATTGCCTCAGCCACAGAACAACGTTGCCTTTGGCCTGTTGGGCTGAGCCAGGCACTTGTTTCAATGTGGTGTTCACCTCCTCCCACCCTTCTCCTGGGGTGTGAGAGATACTCTCAAGAGTACCAAGGCAGAAGTTGGGGCCTTTCTGACCATAAAGGGCTGAACCAGTCTTGTGGCCTTGTTTTAGTCAGTTTTTGCTCTGTATGTTTCCTTATTGCCATCATTTCAGGCAACTGCAACTTCTCTGCTTTTATYATGCAGTTTCGTAACTTCTCCATGTGAAAGAAGGAAGCACATCTCTGGCAGGTTGATTTAAAAAGAAAGTGCTAACAGAACCCAAAAAAGCCAAAAGAGCAAAACCCACACTAAAATAAATCACGAAGCAAAAMAGTTGTGAACATTTACCCAGCAGCATGGACTGCTGGGGGTGTTTCTTGCTTTCTGGGAGTAGGAAGGTAGTGTAAGACAGGTGACAGCTTAGGTGTATCATATCCCTGCAATGTGTCACATGGATCTTATTTCTGTATGTGTGGTGTGTAGTATGCATAAGGTTTTGGCTTTTGTAAACAGAGAAGTTAAAGAGATCTTGATAATTTAGGATATTGTGGTTTTTCTTTCTTCTCTTTTTATTTTCTCTTGCATATTTTTATTTTCTAAAAAAAAAAAACCAACCAAAAAAACAACCAAAAAAACCTCTCAGCAACTTTTTTGTTTTTCTGATACTAAAAATAGAAAGATAAAAGCACGGCTGTGTGTCCTACAGGAATTCCTGACTTCTTGGTGAGATAACTCTTGGAACAGAGAAGCAAATCATGTTTCATGTCTTCAGGGACCAACATGCACAAGTTTACTGTGTAGTGTTTGGCTCTGGATCTTTGTATCATTGTTTGCATTGTATCATCTCTATGCACAACTTAAAAATAGAAACACCTTTTGGAAGCACTTTTCTTACCCAGCTTGGGGGCAAAGAAGCAAACCCAGAAGAATCCTTGATTAGTATGTTTACAAAACATTCATGTTTTGTGTATAGACATTGAAGGACAGGAAGGCAAAAATAAAAAGCTTGTCATGCCACTTCTTTGGTGGCTGCAGGAGTGATTTCCCCACCCACAGAAAGCAGACTGCCATCACGATTCCCTTGTTGGCAGAAGCTCCAACTGAATCACACGCTTGGTCAACAGCTCTCTTAAAATCAGGCATCCGTGGGAGGGAAAGAAGAAGCAGAGAGACTGCAAAGACAGCGTGGAGCTGGGAGCATTTGCACCCTCATGGTGGAGKTGTAGAAGGAGCAGGGTCTCCTGAGCAATCCCTGTGCAGCATCCAGCAGTTTGGACATGGTCATGATGTGTGCCTTTCAAGGTGACTGTCCTGAGGGATCAARACACCTGTATGAGGCTGGCACATGGCCTACAGTGGATCCACCCTCTTTTTGAGCAGCAGCTGAACCCTAGGTAAGACACCTTGTGAGCATTCACATCTAAGTTTAGCTGTATGAATCCTGCTTGTCCAGATTTCTGTAGACTGAGAAGAACAGTGGGAGTTTTAATGGAACATAATCCAGTGATGAAATGACAAATGGTTCTGCAATTCCCTGTATTCCTCCAGGGATCCTCTTTCAACTTGGAGAAATGTAAACCAGTAGTTYTCTTCTCAAGGTCTAATTAGTGAAATTTCTTCCCAGAACCCTTCAATGTCCTCAGGGCTYCTGGTTTCAGTTTCCTTTCTTATTTGGTCAGATGTTCTCCACGGAGAAAGGAGCTCTAAAGGAATGAGGAGCCCACACTGCCTGCCAGCCTTTGTGCTGGCCTTCACTTGCTCTCTGCTCTGCTCACTCCTTCAGTACTTAGGTGACAGGCATGACTAACACGCCTACTTCATTCTTGCTTGTTTTCTTGTGTTTTACAGTTAAATAGGGTACGTTTCTGAATTGCTGCTGTGCTCATGTTGCTCAAGGTGTTCACAGTACAGCGGCACTGCACTGTCCCTCAGGGTGACTTGTGTCAAACTGTCTCCCAGTAGAYATGAGCCTTGCAAAAACCATTACAGCTCAGCGTGGCCCTGTGAGCCCGGCCTGAAAGGACTTGATGGGATTGGAGGGAGTTTCTCTTTGCTCCAGCATCTTTGTGTGACTGGGGTTACAGGCTGTCACAGAGCTGAGGGCCAGGATGCGCACCATTGAGTTCCATTTGTTTGAGAAGTAAACCAGCAATGATTTTGTTCTGTATCTTCTCTCTGGTAACTCCTGTGCATTAAAAGAGAAAGCTATGTACCCTCCATGCATGCTTTTTTTTTTTTTTTTGTGGTATGGAGGAATTCCTTTTTCTTGATATTGAAAGGATTTGTGGGTTAAGAAAATTGCTTCTCACCCTTTCTTCTTGACCAGAGATGTCTAGGAAGATGCATTCACATATAACTGAAACTAGGTTTCAGAGCCAAATGTTCTACTCCKGTGAAGCATCTATTTTACTATAGAATTGACAATGAGTAATTTACCCTGACCTCTGTTTGTGTGCTGCCAACACATCCTTCAAGTTCCTACTCCTCCTTTCCCTCAGGGAGGCTTTAACTGCTCACCTACCTTGCTTCTTGTGTACAGCAACAGTCACCAGGTGATAAGTTTTGCCTTCTAATAACTTCTTTGTTTTAATTGTGTAATGSTGATGTGTGGTTTTAAATTAGTCATAACTTTAGCTTCTGTTTGAGRTCTTCAGTTGTCTCCCCAGAGGGGAAAGCTTTATTTC